GTACCATTATTATTAGGTAACTAAATTAACTAACTTTCAAAATGTGCATATAAGATTTTTAGAGGTATAGGCACCTTCATCTGAAGACTGTATGTTCAGGCTACCTGCCAAAAAAAAAAAAGAAAAAAAAAAAAAAGAAGAAAAAAAAAAGAGCTAACACAAAACACAGTAGAAAATCAAAGGCTGGACATCCAACATCCCCCAGGGATGCAAGCAAAGCCCTCCTGGCCAGGACCAGCTCTGCCCACAGCCTGCAGGAGATCCCTCCTTTGGGAAGCACCTTCATCACATTTCTCATTCACCTCCTGACTCTATTTTACTTCAGGTACCTTATCATTTACCACTGGGAGTGGTATTTAAGATGTGCAAACTTTGTGTCAGGTGTACATTCCAATAGTGAGCCTAAAGCCCTGCTGAGCTCCCGGGGGCACGGGACTCCAGGCACAGCATCCCTGGCCAGGCTGTGAGGGCCAGCTGGGGCTCTGTGGCTGTGGGTGTGTCTGGATTCATCTTGTGGCTGTGTATTGCTTGGCCTGACACACAGGTGCTTGTTGAACACGATCCACAGAAAGAAAAATTACCTTAAGGTAGCTTTCTGTCCTACCATTGCTAAATCGTGCCCATAACCAGACCCTGCCAGCCCAGCCTGGGACTCCTTGCTGCCCCTCAGCCTCCCAAAAGCTGGATCTGCTCTTCCACAAGGTCCCTGGTACTGCTGAGGCCCTGTGGGACAGGAACAGCTTTTCCTGCTTTTGACTGGAAGTGTCTGACCACAACCAGAGCCGTGGCTGCAGTGCTCTCTGGGCTCCGTGTGTGTGGACGTGGCACTTCCATCCCTCACAGCACCACCTGTGATATGCTGAGGACTTCTTGATATTTACAGGCTTGACAAGCCCAGAAGTGCCTGGACAAAGGCAGGTGAGCCGGTGGATTGGTGTGGCCATCCAGACCTTTGGCACATCCACAGCTCATGGGGAGAGCACATCTTTCACTGAAATCTCTGCTGAAACGATAGCCAAAAAAATTTGCTGCTGCTGCTGCCTTCCCTTACACCTCTTCCCTTCAGATTGAGCATCTGGCACACATTCAGCTGAGCGAGGCATTTCACCCTGACAGGGGTTTTATCTTTGCTAATCCATAGGCTCAAGAAGACAGTGCTATATTCCTTACAAGCTCTTGATGCTTTGAAGAGTTTTGCCAAGATAGCTCTTTGGAAGAGCCTAAGGAAGAGCATGGTCTTGTAGCTGAGAAACTCCCAGCACTGCAAGGTGGTGACAACAACAGGGAATTTTCCTTCTGTCACTTATGGCGCAGCCAAAGGCGGCAAAAAATTAATAAGGAAAAGAATCGATACTTGCAAAAATAAATAAATGGCGTAGAGAAGAGAGCAGAAGTCTGTGGACAATTTGTGCCCTGCTGCGAGTGGGATGTGTGTTCCTGTGGCCAGCAAGCCACTGAGCAATCACTGGACAGGGCAGGTGAGCCCCTGCCTTAGCACCACCAGTGCTTTGGCTGGTACCCTTGTAAGACAACGGCAGGGCAGGGACAGCAGGCACAACAGCAGAAACCCTTCCTGCTCACCTTAATTCACCAAGCAGCTTTAAAAAATTGCCCTCCCTAAATTGCCCACATAAAAAACAAATCAGGTGTTTGTACAGAAAAAAAGATATTGTCTAAATAACATTTGTTTTCTGGCCACAGATGCACCCAGTGTAAAACAAAGAAAGTGCATTCTTTGAACTCTCAGATACAGAAAATGACAGGTGGTGTTGAATTTCGTAAAGAAAAGACAGTTTTCTTCCAGTGAGCTCACTTAGTGAAGGAGACACCAATTAGGTGTAGACAGAACACTGCAAAGTATGGCAATTGCTGAAAATGCACTTCTAGGCCAAAGAGAACTACTTGTGCAGTTGAGTCAAAATTGGCCAAGAAAGATTCAGCCAAATAATAAAAACCCCAAAAGGTTAACCTTTATTCTGTGTAACAAAGTTCCATTTTTTTCATTTTGAAATAATTTATCCCTAATACGAGACTAAGGTATTTTTCCAAAATGTGACATAATATATCTAATGGAATATTCTTTCCCCTTGAAAATAATTCTATCAATTTTAATGTCACTTTTGCTTTCATGTTATCCAAGGTATACCCGTTTTTTCCTCATTTTGTCAAAACCCCTCAAACTGTAGCATTATTCAGCAGCTCTAACATCACCTCAAAGAAGCCTCTCAGCCAGAGGTCAGTAAGACACACTGTCCTGGTGTCACAGGAGGCCAGCAGAGCTGAAGCTCCCAGGTTGCTGATGTGTGGCAGGACCCATGGTGGTGCACAGACCCACACAGCAAGTGCCAAGCACATGTCCTTTGTTAAGGAGAGACCATGTAAGTGAGGTAGGAGAGATCCTGCCATAAAAACCACTTAGAGGGAGAAACCTGTGTCCAGAAAGGGAACTCAGGGTCACTCAAGGAGAGGTACAGCCTGCTATAAACCTGTGCTCAGGCTGGGTGGGAGTGCTGACCAAGGCATTGCTGACAGACACAGGGAAGCCAGGATTAGCCCAGCACTGCGTAACAAATAAAACCAAATTCTGCAGATCCTCTGTTGGACAGGGATGAAAATTCCTTGGCCCTGGGAGTGTTTAGGGCTACCCCTAAGCAGGTGTCTGTGAACTCAGGGTGCCCACAGGGACAGGCGAAATTCCAGCTGTGCACAAAAGGAGGGTCAGTGCATCCGTGGGATGGTGTGTGCATTTTGCTGGAGGAAGGCTGGCTGCCCTGGTGCTCCCATCAGGACAGAGGAGGCATTTCAGTGCTGGGATGAGTCTCAAGAGGAGCAGTGTGAGGCTCTGTTCGGCACACAGGTTAGTGCAGGGCCACCAGAGAGCACCAAGGAATAAGCAGTGTGTGACACCATCAGTCCCCTGGGGTGGGGACAGCGACAGGCTGGAGAGGGCAGCTGCAGATGGTGCCCAAACACTCCTGAGAGCATGCACTGCCACGCTTTTTTTCTCTTGAAGAGGGAAAATCCAATGAAAGAGATGGGAAGATTAAAAGAGATGGCATTTTGGGGAGTTTAAGTGATTATATGTAGAAACTCTCAACTTACTGCTGTTGGGAAGAAAGAAGAAAGAAGGCAATTATAACAAGCCCTTGGAGGCTTGAAGGACGGAGTTTCCCACAGCATAAAGCTGTGTACAGGCATCTCTAACAACTCAACATCAGAGAAATAGCGGATATGTGATGCATACATCTGGGGCAAGATAGAAGAGACAGGACAGGGATTTATTTAAGGACTCCATTGTTCCTCTGGCAGGCACTAAGCACCCAGAAATAACTGCCTGTGTCAGAGCTGTGCAGTGGCTTTATGTGCCACCATCAAACTCCATCTGTTTAATCAATGCAATCCCATGGAAACACTTCCCTTGCAATTTAAGAGTGGCTTAATACATTCCTAATGAACTGGATCTTAGACCTGACTAAAGTGAAAAACAAAGATCTGGATTAAGCCAAACAGTGTAATTTTTTCACTGAGTCTTTTGCATCCTTTTACCCAGCATCATGCCAAAAACAAAATTTATGTTGAAACAGAGAGAAGCCCTAAGATTACTCAGCAGGAAAAGGAAGACAGGGCACGGTCCTTGGTGCAAAAGCAATGAAGCACTGTGAGGAGCAGGGCCCTGACTGCCAGTATTGCTTGCAGCTCTTAATTGTGTTATCCTGTGGTTCCCAGCTGATGCAGGGACGAAAAAGCAGCATGGGAGGAGAGGAGAAGCAGGATGAGCTGCCTGCTAAATTATGGTGTATATCTGACTTTCTATCACATAAAAAGACTAAAAATGGAGACTACTTGTGCACAACCACACAGTTTCTGACGTCATTTTCAATTTTGAGAAGTCTGATCTAACCCCACATTATGCAACTGTTGAATCTTCCATGCTGGCAAAGTCTAATTTTCACACGCCTACATGCTATGTACCTGATTTTTATTTTTATTTTTAAATATCAACAGCCTAAAACAATTTTTTTAAAATAGATTTAAATGGTCATAATGGTTATGAAAGGTCCTAACTTTACATCCATTGTTTCAAAGGAGTAAAAAGCAAAAATACTCAAAGTCCATTCTAAAAAACAGGCAATGAAGATAATGTAATAGTAACAGATGAAATGAAAATTCAAGGGAAAATTGCAGACAGATCCCATCTCCACCATGGGGATTACATATTCATCTGTGAAAAGGTATTCAATGCATGTTTCACCTACAACCCACCTTTCTTTTAAAGGCCACTTTAATAATCAAGATGTGCCAAAAAAAGAAAAAAGCCCTGGAATTCCAAGGAAAGCATGGCCATTTGATACCAGTCACTGCTGGAAAGCACTAACACAGTGCTGAACCAAGCTGTCATCGGAATCAAGCAAATAACAATATCACGTACACAAAAGTACTTTCCTGAATTAAGGTCCCAGGTAAACACCCTCAAAACAGGTTATGGGGAAAGAAGAGAAAGAAGCTGAAGGAAGTTCTAGTGGAAAGAGCAAAGCTTGGGCTGGATTCTCCTCTGTGTCCCTTTTTACATCTCTGTCTGTCATGAACTGAACTTCCTCCTCACTGAAGGCTAGGGTATGAGCTTGCATTTCTCAAAACACTCTTAGAGCTGCTGAATAATCAGTTCAAGAATAAAGGAACATTTCTGCCTCTCGGATTGAGATGGGCTTTTTTTTGTACAACCTAACTTGGTGACTAATCCCTACCCTACTGCCAGAGAATGCAGAAATCATAGTAAAGGACTTTGACTTCACATGGCCATTGCCTTGCCAGTCGCCTGGGCAGAAATTTGCTTCAGATAAACACCTTCCAGTAACCTTATAATGCTTTTCAGATCCATGTCTCCTTCCTCACTGCTGCAGAAGTCAATCAACAACAATCAAGTTGCACACAGAGGGGGAGGAGTCCTGTACAAATCAGCAACATACCACTTTTAAAAATAAATATCTGGTCCCCAGACTCAGGTGGGCATTTTTCAGAGATGCACATAATGATGGAACTATATGGGTTCAAAATTGAAGGCCAGAGAGAGGTGATGCTGCTAAGCAAGAGAAGCTGTCCTCACTGACTGGTAAGACACTTGACTTCAAGAGTTGAAACTCATTCCTGCATTGTTGACTGTTCTGTATGGATCCAGGCAAGCGCATGGAACCTCTATCAGAGGTTATCTGAAATCCACTGCAATTTTTTTTTTGGTGAACCAGGCCTGATTGACATGGTCCTAAAGATACTGGTATCTGTGAGAAGTGATTTTCCTGGCTGCAGCTCATCACAGGCACACTTTACAAACTGCAGGGGCTCCAGCTAATCTCTCTGCTCCACCACAGAATAAAGTCAATCCTGCTAAGAGTGCTGATAGTCTGGACAAGAAAAAGACTTCTTTTCTGTTTCTATGGTTGCAACAGCCCTTAAGAAAGATATAAATTTCCCTGCAACAACTAACTGCATATTCATTTTAAGGTAGGTCTAGTTCCAGATTCCTGAGACAGAACCCTCTACCTGTTCCCAACCCCACAAAGCCAGAGCAGCAATATAGAAAGTTTCTAATCTCAACAGAATTCAGTGAGCAGCACGATTGGTTTGGTAAATAAACAAACAAAATAAAATAAACCCACCAAAAAAAAACAAACCAAAAACCCACAGCAAATTTTCAGCCTCTATGTACAAAACCAATGCAAACAAGTGGAACATTCTAGTTATATTTTGTAAAACACACATTTGGGATCAACAAAACATCAAACATCCAGACCCTAGATTACAAAAAAGATCTATTGCCATCTAATTGTCAACCCCAAGTTTAGACAGTCCTTGTCGGAAATCATGTAATTCATCTATCTTCCCGTCTAGTACATCTAAAAAATTCTTTAATTCAGTTTTAAGGTTGGTCTGCCTATGTTTGTTCTCTTCAACTTCTGTCCTTAGCGTTCTGACTTTCTCTTCAAGATCCTTGTTCTTTTTCTCAGCAGCCTTAAAGACAAAAGAGACAATAAGATGAATCACAGAGAAGAAGGATGGGCAGCATTTCATAGATTAAAGCAACAAATGGCAGCAGGGCTGTGAGAGTTTGCTCGAACTTCTGTAAACTGATTAACACAAGCACCTCTGAGAGCAACTGACATGAGCTTGTCTGATTAAAAGCCCACGCAGGAAAGGACACAGATTAACTGGAAAAGATGCTTTGCATCAGACTTTGTCATTTGGTTGATATCTTCAAATTCAGCTGGATTTAAATCGTGCACTGTGCATACATTTCTGTCATTGCTACAGTTGCAGAATTAGACACCGTGCCATCAATTACATACAGAATTATCTACGGTGGTTTAACCTTGAAAAACAAACTTAGGAAATACTGTCTGAGGAATAAAGTTGCTTTATTCAGCACTTTGGGATTTACTGGTATTTTTTTAAAGTTCTACTTTGCTTGATGGCTTATTTATTGATTGGATTTTACTTCATCGATGGGACTGCTCATTTTTGTTCTCTTTTCATGTATTAATTTATTGCATTTCCACAAGACCTGACTCAAGGAGGCAATGCCCAAAGTCCAGCTGCTGGCTGGGGCAGGGTTCCTGAGCCACGGGCACATGCCAGCGCTGCTGGAAAGGGATGGCACAGCACACGACACATCCTCAGGTGAACTTTTACTCCTGGTGCTGAGCAGCTTTACTCATCTGCTTCTTTCCCCAAAGCCTGCCCTGGTGCCACTGCAGCAATCAGCCCCAGGCCTTGGGGAGATGCTCGACACAGGTGGCAGTGGTGCACCTCCATGAGCCCAGAGCAGTGGAAACACAGGATACAGGATGGCCTGGGATTGCAGGAGGTGTGTGCTACATCATCCCAGGCAAACCAGTCTCTGCAATGGAGCCATTTAACCACTCCTGTGCTGGGAATGGCACTGTGTATTTTGCATGTAATTAGCATTTTTTGTTTTTACGAACTGGAGCTCTTTTGCCTCGAAACACTGAAGTCTGAACAGAGAAATGTATATAGCTATGGAAAAAAAAAGTAAAGGAAAGGTACCAACTATTTTGGAATTAATTTCACTGCTAAACTGTACCTGCAATTGTTCAGATACAGATTCACATTCTGACATTAGCTCTGGTATAATTTCACCCTGCTTTCGAAGCTCTTCCAGTTCCTTTGAAAACATAAAAGAAAAAATATTAGTGCAAGCTTCAATTTAAAACATAATGGAAATCTGAACATGAAATGGCTTTGCATATTTTATTGTATTCTGCACAGTATTTGGATGGAAAATAATCAAAATAACCTGCCTGCATTCCAAAATTGCTAATTTTCTACAAGAATACATTTTTTCACTTTAATTTTTACTTTGCATTTCTAAAACAGGCAAAGTAATCCAGTCTCTTGCATGAATTCCATGAATTATATTAATAAAATCTTAGCCTAAACCATATACCTATGCAAAAGATGTATTAAATACCAGAAAAATCTGAATGGCTGTAATGCTACAAGTAATTTATAGATGGTAGCAAAGAGCAAATTAGACAATTTCAATGATGTATGACAGCAAAAAAAAAAAAAGGCCAGTGGCTTTAGAAGCTGCACATACAGAGACATCATTACAGAACACAGGTGTAATGGGCTTTCCTCCATGGTACAGATCTGAGAACCACCTACTCCTCCCCCAAAATCTGTATTTGGTTCTGTCCTCATTACCCAAACTGAGCAGACTTGATGAAGGGAGTTAATGGAAAGAGCAACAGCAGGAATCCATATCTCTGTTGGAAATAAAGACAAACTGGAAAAAAGTGCAAGATCCTCCTCCAGAAACTGCCCACGTAGGTGATGATCTCCAGAGAAGGCAGGGGTACACCCCTGGACTACCTGGACTTGTGCAAAGCACTTGACACTGTTCCACACAAGAGCCTTGTCTCCAAGTCAGAGACGTGGATTTGGTGGAGGAACCACCTGGAGGACAAGCATCTCCTACATGAGGAGGGTACCAGCAGCTTCTCTTACATGGCCATGCCTTGAGCAGATTTCATGTGGGTTTGGATTCCAGACCATGAAAGATTACATATGGGTAGTTTAGAGCTAATCGAGAACATGCTAGTGTAAGTATGAATTTTTAAAACAAGTTAGTATATTTTCAGTTTAAATGGAAGACAGTCTTGTAAAATTCACAAGTCAATCAATTTTCTGGTTCATTTGGTACAGTAAAAATGTGAATCTTGAGGAGAATTATAGGAGAGAATAAGGGTTGTTATATATGCTATTGCCATAGAAAGGTTGAGAAGACAGCATTACATTTTCCTGTGAAATATAGGGCTGAAAACCACTATATTCATGACAGTGCATCGAAATCCATCTCCTTAAACTATTTCCTTGCACCACCACAAAACCTATTAACAGCAGTGCTTTTAAGAGCACCAGCAGAGATGCTGTAATGGCACGTGGCAAACTTTACTGCACTGCATTTCCTCTTCAGCCAGCACAGATCATTTGGTCACTGTGACAACAGAAAAAAAACGCTTCCCACTATTTTCCCCACTCTTCTGGGGTTCCAAGCCATCATCCTCCTTAGAAAAATTAACACCCTGTAATGTCAAAAATTACAAACTGGGTCGCTCTAGATTAATCTGAATTTCTCACTCTTGTCATTAGTCCTGAGGTCAAAGCGAGACCATAAACCAGCAAAGCTGAAAACTGTGAGCCATCCAGAAAAAGAAACAGGACTTGTTACACAAATGCCAAATTATTTTGTAAATTATGTCTTTTTAACAGCAATCCTGATGCCTATGGGAATTTTCAGCATGGGGAGAGTCAAATGAATCTGTTCTCAGCACACATCTGTCTGGCACTGGGCACCAAGTTTCACCACTGGCTCTTCTACAAGGACAGGTGTTGTGTACACCAAGGCATCCTTTTCTAACCCCTGCCAAATTACAGTGTGCAGTCACAGCACATAACACATCATGGAACTTGGATGGAGAAACACTACCAAACAAGGGACTGTCCATGGAAAACCTAGAAACAGGCAACACCCCAAGATATCAGTCTGCTTCTGGTGGTAGGTGAGCCACTCCTCACCAACAATCTACACCCAAGAAGAGAAGCAGACAGTCCCACTCAAACATGAAGACACCATTTCTGTGTTCAGGGCACTCACCAGCTCTTTGTCCTGAAGTTCTGTTTCCAGTTCCTGGAGACGTCTACTCAACTGTGCATTTCTTTCCTTCTCTTTATTTATTTCATTGCACTGTTCCTCCAGTTCTTCAATCTTTAAAAAATGTCAGACATTAGGTGAAATTTCTCAAATTTCTGAAAATCTGGGGCAGAACACATCTGATGAAATGGACATGGGATCTGTTTCCTAAATCATAGCATTGGATTCACCGCAACCAAATTATCACTTTTTTCCTTCAAAAGAGTCAATTTACACACCCACTAGGAAACCCTGGGTCTCTATTTATTCTCTCTTACAGTCTCTCTTATAAGTACTCAGGAATGCACAAAACACTGAGCTGCTAAAATAAGTGGAACTGGGGATAAAATCTGCACTTCACTCCTATGAAGCCAACACAAGGCTACAAGGAATGGGTTTTCTTAACACAACAAGAGGAAGAAATCTCTTGGGGGTTGCTTATTATTCCAGCTGGTGTATGAGGGACACAACATCAAAACTTTGGGGGGAGAACCAGTTCAGAGCAACATCTGCTGCTTTGTTCTCTCGCCCAGGGATGTGCTTTGCTCTCTCCAAACCTCCTGCTGCCAGCTCTGGACTCAGCTCCCAGGAGATGCACTTCCCACAGGCCGATGGACCAGCTCATTAAAGTATGTACTTTAATTCTCAGCTTCGTGTTGCTTTGGGATTATAACTCCCCTCATTTGAAGGTAGAGCGATATGCAAAAAATTCTGACCCAATTAATAAAGCAAAAGGAGCTTCCCAGGGCACTGCAGTGGTGCAGTGTGAGCATTGAACAAGGAACCTGCTTGGGGGAAAACCTCAGAAAACCTCCCTGCATGGAGGAAGACAGCACATTATACAGGCAGTGTTGCTGCACAGTCTGGCTGTCACCAGCATGGTGACTTTGAAGAGGCAGCAAGGTGGTGTTTTAATAATTTCTTCTCTAGTACAGCTACTGGGATGTGGCATGTGTTGACGAGAACAACTTTTCCCTGCAACAATACAGAAAGGATAATAACTACCCTGCAAATTATGATATTTCCCCATAACATACTGTTCCAGCCTCTAATTTCTCCCCTGTCCACAAGAGGCTGGATATAGGAAGCTAAATCATGTAACAATATTAATTTGTTAATGTAACATCAGTTAATACAGCTGTGGTTTGATCTCTGCATTACCACTGGGCACCCATAAAACACAAGTGAACAAACAGTGAGTATTGGCCTCAGAAAAAAGGTTGTTTCACAAGGATTTTCAGTGCCAACAAACAACCCAAACCACTTCCAACACTGAAATACTACCTGCAGTCTACTGACACACAAAAAGACACATAATTCCTTCCCTCTTCAAAAGCAAAAAATAAATAAAAAAAAATAAATCTCACCAGACTGATACAATCTGATCTCTACTTCAAATGTCCCAGTAATCCATCTAAGCAGCAGGAAAAGGATCCAGCTTTTCCAAAAACATTTAGGATGAATGAATTTAGGGTGAAAATATCCCTGCAAAAGCAGTGCTCATGGAACCCAGGATCCCCTGTGCCCAGGATGCCCTGTGCCCGTAGGGGCTGTTGCAGATAGCACAGTATTATCTGAGAGATGGTCCTAATGCTTACTCTAAACCAAGACTTCACAGATTTAAACTTCTGAGTTGTTCTCTGCTGTAGCCATTGCTAGCCCTCCATCTTACACAACTGAGAAATGCCTCAGTAATGAAGGGGAAAAGGCTTTTGCTGATGCCTGTTGGCAGGCTTTTGGATGAGATGTGCCAGGTGTTAGAACTGGAGGATCCACCTCACCACCCACATTGCTGAGGGAATAACTCACATCCTCATTCTCCTGCACACTGCTGGGATTTGCTTCTGAGTGAATGGAGTGGTTCCCAGGCTGGGTTCCTGTGGGTGACCAGGCCATAACCTCACCTTCTGCTCATCCACATCTGGCAGTATTTAAGTGAGCTTTGAAAGGGATATGCAAAAGCAGCCCCGTTTTTGGAACCCTTCTGGCTTCTCTCCCCAGCCAACAGGCCCTGCTGACACCACATCTCCCAAGTCCTGAAGTGGGGAACTTGATGTGGCAGCTCCTCTGCTCCCTCCTGCCCGCGGTGTGCGGAGGGAAGCGGCTGCCTGAACTGCCCACTTCCCTTCCTTCCACTTCCACCTCCCTTCCAAAAACCAACCCCATCTCCTAACACACACTGCGAGAAAGCTGCAGAGACCCGAAAGAAAGAGCAACGGTGGGAGCAGCTGACTGGAGCTGCTCTCCTGTGGGCATGTTCTGCTACCTTGCCCCTCAGCTGGTCGTTCTCCTCCTTGCAGGCTGAGAACTGCTTCTTCCAGTGCTCGATGCTGGCCGCCGACTCCTGCAGCGCTGTGGACAACCGCGCGTTGCTCTCCCGCAGCGACTGCAGCTCCGTCTCCCACTTCTTCACATTGGATGAACTGAGAAAAAACAGGACACCATGAGGTGGTTTCACCTTGTATTCCTGTGAGCTGTTACGCTTTACTTGTCTGCAAACTCCCCCGCCGCGGTGTGTTCACCATTAATTTGTTGCAATAAGAGGAAGAGCACTCAGATGTGTGTAATTGCCTTTAACCATTAGATGCCTACAGAGAACAAAAGCCTTAATTTGACTGTCTCTGTCAAAACAAAGGGATCTGCCATTTCCAGCAGCAGTGGCCTGCGTCTGGAACAAAAGCCCTGCTGTCAGAGCAGGGTCCAGCTGCCCATTTGCACCTGGGGGTCTCACCTGGCAGTGCATGGTCCCTGTCACCTCCTGAGCTGTGTGGCTGCAGCACCTGGGGCTGGGCACCTGGCACCCCTGCAACACAGCCACTCTGCACATCTGCAGATGGCACAGCAATTCCAAATGGAAGATTTCAGGGGGTTGACACCATCTATATTTGAATTTATTTTAATGCTGAGTCTTAACTATAAAAGTGTTACATAATGCTGCAGAATTAAACGACTCATTCCCCAAAGCTTCGAGCTGCAGCACAGAGCACAAGATTAGAGGGTGAACGGGAGGAAGGCTTTGAAACTCCCTGTGTGCAACTTGCTGCCTGCCTGTGGAGGTGTCTTCAGCAAGAGGAATGAGCTAACATTACTGTTTGAAACAGGTTAAGCTATTGAAATGTCAATAAAGAGAGATGTTGTACTTCAAACATAATATATGCAACCTTGGAATTGCTCACTGGATAATGCTGCTTACAGTGATGCTTTGTTTTTTAAACACATTTTTAAGAGTAGCTTGATCTTGTTAGATTTTTTTTCCATTCACAGATACACATTCACATGCAAGAGGCAGACAAGGCAAGATCCCAATAGAGAATTATTCTATTTTAATGTTGTAGCTTTGCATATTGCAACGCCTGTATTTTCACTACAGCTGCAAATTACTATTCTCAGCATTTTCAAATTATTTATCAAAGCAAATAGCAAAAAATGTGATTTCAAGGGGCTCTGTCCACAATTTAGAAATATCCCCTAAGACTTCCAAGCACTCTGATGAAATTATAGTTCTCACTTCAACTTTTTATGGTCGAGTTCATTCCCTTTCATAATTTTAAATATCCATATCTATTTTCATCAAAGTAAGTGTAGCAAACTCAAAGAGGAAGAAAGATTGGCTTCACATGTTATCAGCAGCAATTGCTCCCCTATGGCTTTAACGTTATTTCTGCACTTCTAAAACTTCATGAAAGAAGATGGTTATAACAGTTGGCATCAGCAGAATAAAAGAGAGTTTATTTCTTCACAAACTACATCAGGAATAAATGAAATGGGAAATACTTCTCAACTGGATACCAGGAGGTACTTGCTAAAATCTGTTCATTCATCCATTCTGCAGCACCATTTAAAATTAATTACAATCTGAATAATTTCTGTTAATATCATTATCCATCAGATAATTACAGCACACTTTTCCAGTGCAATTTAGATTCTACAGGAACTTCACCTTTGGGCTAGAGCAATTTTTAATTTATCATTCTCAGATTTGAGATGTGCCTCAGCAGAGCCACCATGTGATGCCTTCTCGTCGTCTGTGCCATTCACACTTGAAGCTCGAGTGGAAGATGGTGTTTCACGTCCAGACTCCTGCAGCACAACACACAAACGAACACTGGGTGTCTCCTGCATCTCCTGCAAGACCACAACACCAATTTCTTTGTAATCTTGATCCCACACCACTTGGCTGAGACCTCGGCTCTCCTGGCAGAACAGTGGTAACACACACATACCCTTTTCATCTTGGCTGCAATGCTGGTCTGTTTAAAAAGAATGAAAAAATTACAATGATACACAAATGGAAGTTTAAAGCGTTCAAAACTTTAAAAAAGTTTTTTTCCCTGATACGGCTTGTGTTTTCTAAAAGCTGTTTGGTTTTTTTTAAGATAATGAAACAATGCAACACACAAAGTACAAAGAAACAAACAAACAAAAATAATACTGCTCCTCCAAAGACATACTACTCACACACTGCTTGGCACTGACCTCAACAGAGAACAAAGTGAACTACAAAGACCACGACCAAAGGCTTTACAAAATGAGTATCCAAAGTCAGCCACTCAGATTGATATTTGTGGGCCCCACAAACAGGGGTGGTTGCAAGGCTGAAACCATTCAGCAGCTTTTTCTGCTCATTCATCTGAATTCCTCTCTGATCAAAATCTAACTTTCCCCCAAACATTAGCCCAGGCCAGGAACACCTGCTGAGCAGGGTCCACTCTTACCTAAAGCACTGCACACAAAAATACAGCCAGCCACTAGAGAGACTGGGACAACACTCAGTTTCTTTGGTTTTTAGGACAGCCAGACCTCGCTGGATGTGGAGGCAGTGGCTGGCACCAGGTGTGCTGCCTTGGAGAGTTACTGTGCAGATATACAAACACAGGCTTCTTCAACCCCCTGCACCCTGCCCCTGCTCCCACACCACTGCTGCCCACTGCCAAGGGAGCCCTGCACACAAAGTCAGGAAAAGCAAAGCCCACAGAAGTGGGTTGGACAGATGACAAAAAGAAGGATATCAATGAATCTCATTTACTGTCTGCTGAAGCGCTACACTGACTTACTTCCCAGTGACTCAAACTGTGTTTAACAGCACAAATCAAAGGATGTATAGCTTCCCCTGTTATTAAAAAAGTTGTAACAGCTCAAGGACTGCTGAAAAAAATTAGATTGAAATGAAAGTAAAGGGCATGGAGGGATGAAAAATATTCCTCTGACAATGCTAATGTCCAGCAACTGACAATTACCTTCAGCAATCTCAATTTTATATACTTTAAGCTGGCTGCCAGAAGCTGGCACAGTCCATTTGAAAATTTAACTTTAAATTATTTATCCTGTATGTGTACAGGTATTAAAACTAAATTACAAACCTGTGAATGATTGCTTGAGGTCTCAATTTTCTCTTGAGATCTGTCTCTTGCAAGTTTGGCAGCTTCTTTTACTTCTTGGAACTTCTCTGCAAACTAGAAAAAGCATGAAAGATATTTATTAACAAGATTTATCATCTGTTGAACCATTAAGATTGCTATCTTCATATGGTATAGATGTCCAAAAGCAAACAACTAATTTTAATAATTTAAAATTTTTGGCAAGAAAAAACATCTTAATTCTTTGGCAGGATGGTTCTTCCAAAAGAAACTAGTATGTTTCTAAAAGAGGGACATTTCTATAACTCTGGCCAACCACAGTAAAAGCCCATGGGGGAAAAGGAACATTTGGTGTCTCCTGGTTTGATTTGGTTCTGTTTCCTCCTCCTTCTCTCCTGTTGACAGTGTATTAAAGAAAAAAATACTAAAGACATATGTTTAGATAAAAATATTATCAATGTCTTCTATTCCCAACAGCAAGTGAATTCAATTAAAGAATGCAAATAAGTTCATCTGCAAGAAGTAAGCAAGGGATTATCAGGACATAGGAAAAAGGAGAAGGCAGATCTCAATATATGATGAAGTCTTATGAAAACACAACTTTTCTGCTCTAATTTTCTTATTACTTTCAAAAATAAAGGTAGAAGACTTCTATAAAGATAAAGGCTTGAATGCTTCCTGTAAAAGCGCTATATCAAACTGGGGGAGGTGAGAGGAAGGAAAGATAAAGATAACAATCCCAACCTCTATGAGTTGCTGTAGGACATCTGCTCCAAAGTCAGCCTGGCATTTTTGAAATACAAGTATTATCACAGCCAGTCAGGGTTTCAGGGCTTCAAACACTTTCAATAACATTTAAAATTTTAAAAGGAGGATTATAAAGATGGGGGAAAACGGTATAATACACGATTTACTTTTAAAATTATGATGTCTCCACTATAAGAATAGGTAATTTTATCTTTCAGCTAAAACTGCTTGGTCTTGCTTGCCTGTGTTTTGAGAAACTTAAAATGCTAGAAAGGCAAGACATTTTAAAAGTAAAAATATAAACAGATGTATTATTGCACAGTTTATGACTAAAGGATTGCCATTATAGCCTTGGATAATTCAGAACACTTATGAAAAAACTGTAAATGAAAGCATGAAAAAAACATCCAATTTTACAGTTGAAGAATAAAAAGAAACATTATTCACTTAGTAATCTTGCCTTCTAACTTTAGATTTACAGCAGGTATTTAGCATGCTCTCTCTCAGTAAAATGCTGGGACTGTAGAGACCAATTAAATAAATCTCCATTTGGTCTAAAAGAAATCCAGATTTACACATGGAGGAAATGGTAATTTCCAACAAACACACACACACACATCATGGTTAATCCCACATTCCAAAGGGTGAGTGACTCTCTGGGTGCAGCCTGTGATGTGTGGTGATGCTGGTGAGCGAGGATGGAGCTCTGGGGTCCAGCTGTTCCCTTTGCCACAGCTGACGTTGCCCTTGGATGGCAGCAGCTGCCATCTGATGGCATTGCAGTCTCTGCACACACAAATGACTTGATTACCTCTCTAGCACTCCACAGATCGTTAAGAACAACCACATTACATTTGTGCCTTCAGTGATTTAACTCTAACTTTACACACAGAGTCTCTCCCGCTGTGACAGAGCAGATATAACCAGCTGATTATTTCTAAAATATTATATCAATAGTAAATTCTACATTTGTGTTTCTTGCGGGTAGTATAAGGCTGGTTTGAGTCTGCCTTTTATAATAAATCTTCCTCTTTTATGATAAATCTCTTCATCTTATGTATGGAAAATTTATGAGGGTTCTTCATGGACGATACAAAATATGAACAGACAAAAAGAATTGGAAGTGATCTATCAAATTTTATTTTGCAGCTATCTTCGTAAAGCACACAGGAGACTGCTGTGAAAAATTATGTGAGCTGGGAAGAAAAGGACATTTTTCCACATTTCCATAATAAAAAAATTGCATATGATTGAGCAACGCTAATCTTCAATACTAACCCCATAATGACCTCATTGCATAAACAATTTCAGTCATGTCTCTAGTTCGCCAACACATGTATTAAACACATTTGCATTTAGAAAGTGATTGCAGTTCTGAGAGGGGCAGTGCCAGCCCCAGCTCTGCAGCACTGCAACACCCATTGCACAGAGCAGAGCAGCAGGTTCTGGAGCCACCCAGAGCCTCAGGCTGGCTGAGTGTGGCACAGACACAGGGCCAGATCACCGGGAGAAATCAGAGCTGGTTTCTCCCTAGTAACCAACTGCTTCTGCCCCAAACACAAATAATTGACAAATAATTGGTACCACAAAATCATGCCCCACCTCCAAGGTCTAAGTTGACTTTGACCCATCAAACCATTACAACAAAGGGGGGTGCCTAATGAATGTCAAATTCCTAATGAAAAGGTGCATTCAGTAAATGAAAACTTGGTATGTATGGTCTCAACAGGCAGTGAAAATCTAAATACCCCAAACCAACTATAAGAATTCATAATGTTTCCTCTCCTTAGCTCCATGCTTGCCCTGTGGCAAAGTTCCCAAAATCAGCAAAACACCCCAAAACGAAACAAAACAAAACAAAACAAAAAAATTGGAGTAGGAGAGATGCCAAGTGAATACCACCCCGACAGTCCATCATGGGTTACAGGACGTGTCTTCCCACGCTGCAGGAAGCTGTGTGACTGAGCTGCAATATGGAGAAGATTTGCTGCTATCAACACTTGTGAAGCCTTTTGGTCAGGCAGCTGCAGCCATGAGCACTGCTCGATTAGGAGTCTTGGCCAGTGAAATTTAATGGGGACTTGAGGATGCTACTGTGCACTGCACAAATTATTTAAAGGCTGTTCAAATCCACAGTTAGTTTGTCACCAGGAGAAATATATATATATATTCAAATAGACCTCCTTAGCATTTTATACATTAAAAAGCATGATTTTGTATGCATAAATTTTAAGCTCCTGGTCTGGCATTATATTTTATGTCTCCTACTGACAAATTGTGCCAGTATCAGATGAAACAGCTGCTCCCACCCAAAGCAGGCTCATAAATATTTCATCTCCCTCTCGGTTTGCAGCAGGCTGGGTGATGTGACAGCCCCGGGGGAGCACCGCTGTGCCGTGACCCACAGCACACACATGCTTCTCCCGTGCTTCTCCAGGGATGAGCCCTCAGCACGGGGCAGATGGGTTCCCAACAAGACTATTTACCCCAGAAAGTGCCCAGTAATTTGCTCTATCCCAGGCAGGGCATGTCCAGCTCTGATGCCAGCTGGACCAGTGGCTGTGCTGTGTGCTGGGGCAGACTCTGCCCCCAGCTCGCTGCCCTGCAAGGCAGTGGCTGGCACACATAATGTGCAAGAGTGCAGAGGAATAAAGCCCAGGGCTTCCCAGGGGCCAGAGGCAGCTGCTTTAAGATGTGCAAAGTCTGGCTTTACTGGGTTTCTCACCTGTATAAATCTTTGTCCCTATGCCCTTGACTACCTGCAGCTCCTCATATATAGTACAGCCGCCTCAAAGCACCCTGAACGACGGCAGAAATCTTCCTTAACCACTTTATGTGCAAAGCTCAGCACCACCAGTGCAGCACCAGCCCCCTTTCCACAGCCACACACCGCCAGCATCCCGTGATTCCTGCCTCAGCTTGGCTGGAGCAGCGTTTGGACAATGCCCTGAGACCCTTGTGATGCACAGGGTCGGAGGGGGAAAGGAGGGTCAGCGAGCCCTGCAGAAGGGGAAAAGGACCCTGAGTAGGACATCAACTTTAAGCCCTGGGATTTTCCCAATCAATGTGAATGGTAATTAGGTTACTGGGTCACGGAATGCAGTTTTCATTAATGGCTCATGTTTAATTTGAACTGCTTTTCCCTATAGGTATGGATTAATGCTTTAAGTTTCTCAAGAGAAGCAAAGCATTAGAATGAGGCAATGTCTTTTATTAGGCCAAGCAATGTACTTAAAAATGCAGTCATTTTTAGGCATGCTAACCTCTTCTCCTGCCTCATTATTTTCCGTTGCTTTCAACGAACATTTTTCAGCTTTATTTATTTATATTTATTTTAAGCCAGGGCTATTGATCTCTGGTTTAGGGGAGTTTTAGTGTGCCCTTCCAATTCCTGACTAAGCACTTCAATTATTTCCCGTAAAATAGGCAAGCTTTAATTTATATATTTTATAAAAGTATAATGATATTAATATAAAATGAAACTTGATTTTATTATTCCCAATGCACTTATATAGCTGTAATCTCACTCTCAACTCTGATCTTTCTTACTAATGGCTCAATAATTAAACTGAGAAGCATAGAAAATAAAGGAGTATCTTTGTCCCACTGCTTTGCATGGTGGTAATAAACCAGATTTTCTTATATTTTTCAGCTAGGTAACTGTCAGAGTTTTAGGTTTTTTTCCTTTTTAAAAGATCATCTCAAGCTATTTTCAGAAGTGCTCCCCTTAAGCTCCTTCTCAATATTCTGACCAGAAAAAGTCTTCCTGCTGATTTGGAAAGCCTTTCATGCAAGTAGAAGGTTGTATTTTGGGCAGTGGGCTCTTCAGCAGGTAATGCAGTGCAAACAAATGTGAAAGATGACCTGGAAAGAAACACAGCTGGTGCTGGTGTCTCTGCACCCACAGGACAGGTTATTCAGACTGGCTCTGGACTGGCCATGTGAGCACTGACGAGCTGATACCAGCAATGCATTTCTTCTGTGTTTGATAAGGTCTGCAGAACATGGTAAAATTTCTCTGATTAGGGTGCAAGGTCCTCCAAATGTACCTCCTGCCTTACTATAGTGAACCCAGTGCCTTCTTGTATTATTTACCTCTCTTCTGAGGCAGACTCAGCACCACCTGCTCCACATGGAACATGGTGCATGTTTAGCCCACCGAGGCACCCTGGGGTCTCGCGTCACGTTGCAGAGGTGCAATTTCAATAATCCAGGATTAAAAATTATTATCCAGAGGTGCTAATTCTCCCTTTCAGTGTTCAAAGGTTGCATTGTATCATGCTTATCTGTTACTCAAAACAAATTATTCCCCTAGGTCCATTTTAATCCTCCCCTATTCCCACACATCTTACTAGCTATGAACACCTCTGTCCCAGGAGTGAAGAATATGCCCAGGTGAAATGAGCAGTCCTGTACACTTGAGTATGCATCATAAAACATAACCATTTCCAGCAACTCTTTTTTAAACAAGCTTTGCACATCATGCATTTATCATCCCTGAAGGACAGATGAATGCCATGGCACTTTTACGGGCATCCCAAGGCCAAAAATAATTTAACATATGAAAAGTAAAATAACTTTTACCTTTAAGAAACACTTGCAAAAACGCAATTCTCTAGAAATTGTGAAAACTTATTAAGACAGACTTAGTAAAATAAATTCTTATAACAACTTGCTTGATAGGGAAGTCCTTCTAGTGCAGGGCTCTGCCTTTGCTGCTTTAGGCACCACAAGAAACACCTTCTTCTCCTGATCCTTATTAAAGCACAGGAGAGGACAGCAACATGAGAGGCTGTGGCATGCCCAAGGACAGCCTGCTGAGGTCACTTATGAAGCCCAGTGCCAAGCAGCCGATGCTTCAGGAGTCAAGTATGTGTTAGCTAAGTAGGGCTTTTTACCACATGAACAAACAATCATCTCAGCTGCTTGATAAGCACTTGTCAAGACCACTACTCCAGTGAGAGAGGAGTATTTTCAGGTGCTGGTTATTCACAACAGCAGGCTGCTCTAGCCTTACAAGCCAGCCCCTAGTCCAGGGAAGTGTTTCATTAATAGCAAGCTCAGGATGAGGGGTTTGGTGCTAATGCAGAGGCAGTTTTGTCAGGCAGCCTGACATCAGCCCTCCCTGGCCACCCCTGCCCTGCCGCCAGCAGCACTCACTGCCACCCCCAGACAGGGGGGAGCTCCAGGGATGAGCGAGTTGCAGTGCTGAGAGGACCTGCAGGAACACCCAGGCTGGAGATGTGCTACTCTGCATTAACAAGAACAAGACAGCCTTTGCAGCAATCCAGTGAGCCCTGTTACCTTGGTCAGCTGCTGCTCGGAGGGGAAGCCCAGCCCGAACACAGTGTTGGCTCTGCTGTCTGCCCACTGCCCGAACTTCTGCGATGTTTTAGTGAAGGTCATGTTGGGGGTGATGGTGCTGTTTATGATCACCTGGTCACAGACAGAGCAAAAAAAAAGAATTAAAACGTACAAGTCACATCGGAAATGCATATCCTAGCAACGGTATCATCCAAAGCAATTAGCAGTCTAAATTGGGAAATTGCTGTGTTCAGAAGATTTTTTTTCCCCAAAACAAAACAGTTTTTTTCTTGTCTTAATTTTTGAGGGAGTTCTGATGCTTTGTCTTGTTTTTCAAAGTACCATCACACCCTGCAGTTGAACGTGGCTGCAGGAACGTCACTGAACTCAGAAGCAGGGTCAGGAGCCACAAAACTACCCTGGCAGAAATGCAGATGCAAAATCATTTTTTTTTGCATTAGGAAGCCATGCAGCCACTGCCCCAACAGGTGCCTGTGTGAGGCCTCCAAGCAGGGCATCCACCAGTAGTAACACCTGAACTCTGACCTGCAGGGCACAGAGATATTCCTGCATTCTTCCATTTGTCCTCAGGCCTCCACAAGCAGGATACCACAGACATATCAGAAGTTTAAAACAAAACCACACAATAAAAAACAAGACAAGGAGAAGCTGATAGCTTAACAGTGAGTTTAACTTGGGAGGGTGGTGAAGCGCATCACCAGCAATGCATATCCAGAATCAAATTTGGGCCTTGGAACAAATGTTTTGCCTCTTTACACATGTTAACTTTACATATGTTAATATCTGTTTCATCACCAGCCACACTGAAAGTAACAGTGGTTCTTGTAATTAAAGAGGTAGCCAACAAGAGGAAGGCTGGTGGATAAAGTCTCTGAGGAACTTAGTGGAACAAATACAAAATGTAATCTTGCTAAAAGGAATGAGGTATATGTCAGTTCATTATCAAAAACCTTAACTTTATTTTCAAGATACATCATTATATGAGTCTAGCGACTTCTTCCCCTGGAAATTAATTCATGTACAATGTTCTTTCTGCTAGCAGAATAAGAGCTTTCTTTAGTAATGCGTACCATCATTTCCAATATGCAAATTATGCAGTAATTAAGCCAAATCTGTGGGACAGTTTAATTAACATGATCAGGAAGTATCCTGGCAACATCATTTACTACGTATTCCAAGCAGTTTTTTCCTAAACTATCATTTACATTTAGCAAAAAGTGTGAATTAAATTTACCAGAGGAAGATCCTTACTTGTTTCCATCCCCTCCCTGACTTTGGACCACTGTGCTGACACTTCCATTTGCTTTCTTAAAAATTACTCAACTTATTTCCCTCTTTTTGCATCATCACTTTCAAACAAACCTTCGATTTTCTGCCATTCCACACCACTGGAAGTTTCACCAGAAGCATCAAGACAGAGGAGAGCCAATTGCCCCAGAAATTGTCCTTTGCATGGGAAAGAACAGGGCAAGAAAGGAGGAGAGGTGACCCTGCAATCAGCACAGGTCAACACACTCTGTGCAGACAACACAGAAATTGTGGATGCCCCATCCCTGGAGTGTTCAAGGCCAGGTTGGATGGGGCTCTGAGCAACCTGGTCTGGTGGAAGGTGTCCTTGCCCACGGCAGGGGAGTTGGAACTGGGTGATCTTTGAGATCCCTCCCAACCCAAACCACTCTGTGATTCTCTGATCAGTTTTCAGGGTCAGCACATCTTGAGTGGCCGGTGCACAGGCAGGGGTATGAGCAAAGCTGACCAGATGTGTTCTCCTCCAGCTGTGCCACAGGAACAGCCAACATAAAATCTAAGTGTCATTTCAGTAACGTAAATTAAAAGAAAACCAGAGATTTTATCTAGGGGTGTGATGATACAAGGATTTCATGGTACAGAGAGTCAAAAGAACAGGAGGAAAAGCTACCACCAACCCCAAAAATCAGGGTGCTTTTCAGAAACTTTAAAGAAAGTGCAATATGTATATTTCTGTTTTTTAAAAAAAAAATCTTACATCAGACAGATGAACCACTTACAAATGTCTAGCTTCTCAAGCTACAGAATTGATTTTAGAAGCTATAAAATTCCCAGAAATTTCAAGTCATAGGAAGTATTATTTCAGTCCTGCTGTGCCTATTAACTTAGGCATCTGGGGGAAAAAATATAAAATGATGACCAGTTTAATTGAAAGGCAAAAGCTTTGCTCACTGATAGTTGACCCTGAGAAGAATAAAATTCCTCCATACCTCCTACAATAACCATTGAGAAAATACAAATGTATAAAAACACACACTGAAGTTATCTTTTACAACACAGTTCAGTATTATGAGATGTGATTAAAAGAATAATGAAGACTGAAAACTGTAAACCAAGGAATATCTTATTGAGCCATGAAATGCTCTACATTGGCTGAGCACCTTAGAAGTTAATTTTTTTCTATGGCCAATGGAGAATCCAAGGAAAGGTTGTGGTGAGCACACACCTCTGAGAAACTGACAGTTCATCTGTTAAATTTATAATAAGCTGCTATTAGTGAAATTGCCTGGAAGCTGTCTCTACCTTTTCCCTTAAATCCTCCTCTGTCAGTCAGGCACTTCAGAAATGCTGCATTCCTACAGAGAAGTGAAAACCTGAGCAGAAGCTTAGGAGATTAAATCAGAGCTCATGTTTCTATGAGTTCAGAGGAGACGGATGCTGCGGGTACATCGTGCTTGTTCAGCCGCTCTTCCTGCCCATCCTCACCCCATCTGCCTGTACACTCATTCCCCACAGATCTGGCCATCATTTCAGAGCAGTGACACTCCACTGGCAAGGGAACAATCACGCTGGTTGTGTTCAGGAGAAAGAAAGGGCGCTGTGGTTTCACAGAACAATGGACCCTGAGGCTTGCAGGTGTTGCTGCCAGGTAACCCAGCTGACCCCCACTCCTGTGGCTGGCTCACCCTCGGCTATGGGAGACCAGGAGGAGAGTGCTCCCTGCCACTCCTCCATCCGCTGGGCAGATGGTCTCAGCTGGGGCAGGGGGAAGCATTTGTGACCACCACAGTAGGAAAGCTCAAATAAACTGGATTTTTTTTTTTATTTTTAATTTTTTTTTTTTTTGTGAAAGTATGAGCCAGAATTTTCAAATTTTAAAAGAGGAAGAGAAGTAAAAGGGCACTATTTTGCTACAGGCAGGATGGGCCCCCAGGCTCTTTTACATCCCTACCTGCAACCCAGCATGATAATTCTGTAAGAAAAGGCCACTCATCAATTCTAATGAGCCCTTATGAAATACTTTGCATTTGGTCCTCATTTGTATAATACACACGGAGTGAAATTCCAACTGCAACAAAAATGGAATAAACTTGTGGACTTTCAACCAGAATAATGGATTCAGAAGACAAACTACTCTCCAATCAAATGCAATCAATCCTTGAAGTGGTTAAAGAGTTCTCCCTAAAGAAAATGGCAAAGAGAAGCATAATATAATAAGCAGCTTACAAAATAATAAACCCATTCTTCATACTCAGGTGTCCACATGTGGTTAAAAAAATCTGCCTTTGCACTCACCTACACGCAAATGTATCAGATGACAAACATTCCTGATACCCCTGCAGGAGCCAAGCAAAATCTCATACTAATTCCACCTCCTTTGGGAGAAAAATCATACCTGAGAGATCTAAATTTTTATCTGAAGAGGACACAGAAGTGTGTTTGCAGCACAAGGTAGCGCTGCCTCACCCAGAAATGACTCCAGACATTTAGGAACGTACTGGGTACATTCATCAGATAAAAGAGAATGCAAATAAGCTGGTGTAGAGCAGGACATTCATCGGCTGAAACACACCCATCCTGCTGCCTTCCCACGGAGGGAAACTGCCAAATAAATCAAGAAGGAAGAGGTCACAAGACAACCTGAGTGTGTAGAAGGAGAAAAACGCATCGGCAGCTCCTGCTGCTCGTAATGTACGAGCAGAGCCCACAAACGCAGCTGCTGCTTCTTTTAGGGGGACACTTGTGGTATTTAAAGGGCTCCACTCCGGCACTCCCCGTGCCACAACAGCACACTGGAGGGGAAAAGCCGATGTGGCTGCTGGAAATGGACTCTCCAAGCTGCCAAAGAGGTGAACAAGAGGCGACCAGGCCGCTGGCAGCTGGAGCGTGGCTGGTTTGCCAGCTTGGCTCCCAGCCATGCTGGGATGGGTCCCAGGACCCCATCCATGGGCCTTGGCCTGCCAGGTTCACAGGAGGGAACAACACAGGACAGCGAGCTCAGCTCCGAGGGGAGGAGAGCAGTGACTGCAGAGGGCATTTGGCTGAGCTGCTGGCACAGCCCCGAGGAGGAGGAGGAGGAGGAGTATGAACACACTGAACACACCGGCAGGAATTTGCCAGGACACGCAGCCAAGGGGTGATGAGCCATGTCAGCCAGCCCTGCCACCAGCTTCTCTACCTAGGAAAAGCCTGAAATAACAGCTGTGAAATAGCTAATAAATGTATTGGCCAATGTATTTTCAAACTGTATTAAATTAAATCAGAAAAGGACACCTTATTCTGGGACAAGAGTGCCAGGTTAGGAATTATTCTGGAATTTCCCCTTTAAATTCACATCACCTGTTACTCTGAAATAACCACACCTCCAGAAAAGCCCCAAGGCTCCAAGCCATAGGATCTACTCCTTAAGACTATACTAAAACCTTCCAATTTCATTTTTACACCTCTGAATATGTGCTTCCCATTTGCAGCCCTTGTGAAATTTAATTTCCTCAACCCACCAGGCTGCTAATCTTCAGTGAAGATGTATCCCAGTCTAAAAACGGAATTGCAGAAGGAAAGAAGCTGCTAATCCTCTGGCCATAGCTATCACAGACTCAGCAGGTTCTTCCAGCTCATCAAGTCAACATGAATCAGAAGGGCTTGTGACACAGGATGTGAAGATGAGGAGTCAGAGGTGGATTTACAGAGAAATTCTCCCTTTATCCCAAATATTCAGCAACAATTTTGTGGAATTAGCCCACAGACATTTCCATGATCTGTATTATCCTTTGCACTCTCTACCATCCTTCCTACCTCTGCTTCTAGACAGGATGTAACATCTTCCCACCAGTATTTATGGTCATAAACTGTTCATCTCATTT